CCTCCTCATCTCTTTTTTTCTGCCTGCATTTTTCCCTTCTTTGGCTGTCCTCATTCTGTTCCCTAGTGCTTTGGGAATGATAAGGTAATGGGATTTAGTAAAAGAACAATTAAACCTTCCTTTCCTCCTACTTCAAACTCTAGGACTCCAAAACAAAGGAATGTATGTCAGATCAAGTTGTGCTGAAAATCTGAAGATGGAGTTAATTTTAGCAGAGATTTTTAAGAATTTCTGAAGCTATCAGGGTTACAAGGACTGCGGTTTCCTGTGTCGTGCAGTGATGAGAAAATTGTGCCTTCCTTGGGCCTTTTAGCACAAGTAGGAAGAGCAGCAGGCTGAGCAGAGACTAGGCAAGGTTGGGAGGCCTCATAATTGGTGTTCTTAATTCTCCACTAATTTATAAAATTTAATTTAGAAGTAGATTCTGATACTGGAAGGATTACCAGCTGCTCAAAATAAAGGCACTAGGACATGTAGGGTTCTACAAATCAAAGGTAGGACCCTTGTTCTAGAGTCTTAAAAAAAGATAGAGCTTTGTGTTCCATCAGGACATTGTTTGTTTCCCCCAGCTGTCAGGTGCTGCCACCGCCATCTGGGTGGTTTCCATTTAAGGCTTGTGTAAAGTCAAGCTTTGGGTTATCTCAAATAAAGGTTCCTCAACCAAAGTTCATCCCTTGCTATTCCTGGTTTAGTCTGGCTCCATGTACCTGGCTTTTGCAGTACTCAGATGGAGAAATGCAAAGGAAAAGAGTATAGGCACAGAGCTTGAGCACAGAGCCCCACTGAGGAGCATCTGCAAGGCAGATCTTGGGATCTGAACAATTGAAGTGCCTCTGCTTGTCTACAGAGAGCGCGTTGATGACGATCTCCTCCACCCACATTTTCTTGGGGGCGCTCGGTGACCTCAGATAGGCCATATGATTGGCTAAATTGGGGGTTTTCTACCATTCAAGTAAGGTCTAACTCCTCAGCTTGGTTTACAAGGTCCTCTAAGATCTGACTCAGTTGTGTGGTTGCCCAAACCTCCCACACCATTCCTTAGCAAGCAAGATTTAATGACATTGTTCTTCTAGAGAACCATGTATTCTGACCATACAGTGGACTTAAGCCATGTGGAGCTTTAGTGTTCCCAGCTCTCCCCACCCATGGGGCCTAACCTACATCACATACATCACCTACACCTACACCTACATCACCCACCTACCTGGTTGACTTCTCATCTTTTAGCATCGCTTGTTTCAATTTCAGTTCATCCAGGGAGGCTGAGGCAGGAGGATCACTGTGAGTTCAAGACCAGCCTGGGATACATAGTGAGTTCCAGGTCAACTACATAGTGAGAGCCTGTCTATAAAAACCAGAAAACCAAAAACCAAAACAAAACAAAAAAACGAATCAGTTCATCCAGGGAGTCTTCCTCAGCGCCTTATCAGACTAATGGTCAGTGCCATGTGTGTTTTTTCTCCCCAGTTCAGTACATACATATGTATTTTATCATTCCTCTTACTGTCCTTATTGGAAAATTGATTTCATTTCTATTTCTTGCTCTAGGTTTTCATAGGAACAGAGTTCTTATTTGTATTGCTCACCTAATTACAGAACACCAACATGTGAAATTCAGTAGATGTTTAAAAAGTAGAACTTATTGGACAGATGCATGGGTGGGCGGGTAGGTGGATAGATGGATGGATAGCAGCAAATAGAAAGAAACTGAAAACACATTAAAAGAAAGGCCTAGGCTGTGAATAATATGCTCAAGGATTAGTTTCCCCCAATGTCTGCTGAGTTATTACACCAAAACCCAGCTTAGATTTATTGGGGGCTGCTCCCTAGTCTCTCTACTGCCTGGTTTTTTCTACAGGATCCCAATCTGTCCATGCAACAACCTAATGAGATGGAAATTTTTCCCACCCCTTGCAGATAATGGAAACTGAGGCTGAGGGTGGTCTTTGCCCCTGGGGCTGTGTTGTTCCTATTTGGCTATTCAAGGCCAAACCCACCCTAGAGCTCCCCAAGCTGTGATTAGCAACCCAGCCTGGGCTTTTGCTCTCTCAACTAGTGAGTTAGTTGTGTTCTTGCTCTGGGCCAAGTGTGATTTGGCCTCACTCACTGCTCTCACTGGCCAGTGTTCCTTCTGGCTGACTTGTATTTTCCCTTATGAAAGTTAAGGGGTGGGGAGGGGCGCTAATAAAGTTTTATAGGTGTTTTCTGAAAATGGTAGCACATTTTGCCGTATCAAAGAAGCGAGCTGATAGTCCTTTTGTTCACAGAGCTTGGCCTGCCCTTTTGCCCCTCCCTTCCCTACCTCTTGCTGACAGAATTACTCTGAGGTGAGCAGACAGCTTTCCAGCCACACCTTCGTGTCAAAAACACCTCAGCCAACTAACACCAACCAAGGAACAGTTGAGGGCAATTACTGGAATATGAGCAGCACAAAATTCTCTTTAAACAGCAATTTTCCTTACAGAAGCCAAAAATTTTCAGTCTGGTTTGTCATTCCATCTGTAATTACCCTGATGGACCCCTTCCCCTAAGTAATTCCCCAAGTGATACAAGTGAGGTTGAAATCACAGCTGAGCTTTGTATTTTTGTTAGCAGTTGATGTCACAGCCACACTGTTGTATCCCTTCCTGCACATGGAGTCAAGTTGGACTGTTTAGATGGACGCTTAACAGCTCTCAGGAGTAAACGTGACTCAGTGCTAGGGCTGTGCTTTCTTCTTGGGGGTTGGGGGTGACATGCTGTGTGCCTGTGAAATGCTGAACTGGGCAGCCGAGGCAGAAGAATGCCTCGAGCCCAGCCTGGGCAACATAGAGAGACCCTGTTTCTAAAATAACAACAAAAACCTACTAGCAAAAAGTTACATTTTATATTATCGTATTTATATAACTGTGTGTGTGTGTGTTGCTGGAGGTCGAGCCTAGTACCTCACTTACGCTAGTATGCATTCTACCAGTTACACATCCAGCCCATAGATAACAAATAATAATTATGAAATAAATTGTAGAGATACAGAATAGATTAGTGGTTGGCAGGATGAGGAAAAGAGTCTGCCTGTGTCTAAAGAGGGGTAGTCTTTGGAGGTGCATATATAATAAAGTTGCATGAAAGTGCCAGGTACTGTTAATCCCAGCTACTTGGGAAGCTGAGCCAGGATAGAAAGTTCCATGCCAGCCTAGGCAACTGAGCAAGCGCGATTCAAAAAAAAAATTAAAAGGGCTGCGAGGTACAGTTTTGTGGTATAACACTTGCCTAATGTGCAAAACTCTGGGTTCAACCCTTAGCACCCCCCCAAAAAAAGTTGCACGAAAGTATAAATACATGACACAAATGAGAACATGAAAAACTGGTGAGAAAAGAATAAACCCATAGTTACAAAGGAATTCAACTTAAAGACAATGAGTTGTAGCTCAGCAGTAAAGCACTCACTTAGCATGTGCAAGCCTCTGAGTTCAGTTCCCACAACTGCACCCAAAAAGTTTTCTTTATAAATAAATCTGCTGTTATTGCCCTTTAAATGTTATGCTTACAAATATGATTTGTATTTCTGGCACTTTAAAATATGACTTGATTTGCATTTTATTGGTTCATAATTTTTTAAGCATGGACGCATTACATGAAGGGAGGCGAACTCCATTCTGACACATGGATTATTTTCTGCCTCCTTTGAGGAATGAGATCCATTCAGGAAATGTGGGGAAAAGGTGACAGTTACCCAGTTAGACTCAACCCCTCTCGGCTTTCCTGTGACTGACATTATTTGGCACACACTGGACTACAATCTTCACTTTCCACACTGATCACTTTTAGGTGATTTTTGTCTAATAATGAAATGGTGAAGGGCCAGTTTTCTAGGGACCCAGGGAGATCATGTTATTCCTGGATAACACCACCAACTGATCATTTTTTAAAAATTACTTTATTGAAGTATAATTTATGAGCCATAAAATTTACCTGTTGCAAGAAAACGGTTCAAGCGTTTCTCATATCCTGTGCACCCATCATCCCAGCTCCAGGTAAGAACATCTCCCCCATCCCAGAAGGCCTTCTTTATATCCACAGCTTTGAATTCATTATGCATTATGTTAAGTGCATGTTCAGATACCTTTGCAGTAAATAATCGTGCCTTTTATATTTATTATTAAGACCAAGTAAGTAGGTCACAAGCCATCTGTTTCACTTACTCATTGGTTAGTCTTCATAAATTTATTTGTACACCCTGTGTCTAAAGTGAATTTGCATTCAACCAGTAACGATCAGAGCCTCTTTGTGGTGTCAGGAACTGCTTTGCTTCAGAAGTGTGCTTCTCACAGTTTAAAAGTATTCTGTTTATCTGCACTCAGTAGTCAGGCTTTTTCATTGAGTGTACTGGTACTTTTTAGGTATACAGTACAGTTACATTCATCATTCGAATCTTGTACCTTTACATGATGTGTCTTGGTTCTCATTTTTCCCCCGTATTCCTGTCCTCACTTCACACCATTTCAACCCCCATCATGTACATGGGAGGATATAAAAATGAGTGATATGTGGCCCCTGGCTTCAAGGGAGTGATAACTATAGGAGAGGAGACAATAATACAAACTAATAAATACAGTATGATTCTATAAATAATTCTACTAAAAAGTATGCATCTTAGGATGGCAGGTAAACAAATGGCAATAAAACCTGTAATTTTTGTGTCATAGCTGAGGGCATCTCCACTCTGCCATCCACACATGAACTCTCTTGAGGGCTTTATTAGAGACAAAACCCTGAGAGCAAGAACATCCCAGTAAAAGAACAGTTTTAAGCATCATGGTCCCAACAGTAGCCAGATTATCTGATGGTCTGCATTTTACAGTGAGAATCAATAGTGGATTTAATGGGCAAACATCTTCCTGTTCTGTGATAAGTATTTTAGAGCACACTGAAGGAAAGATTCCCTTTCTCACTGAGAAGACAGGACTTAACACACAAAGAACTAAAGCCCAGGTGCAACAAAGCACATGGTGCAGTTCTAAACTAAATAGGGGTCCTGCCAAAACATCCAGAGCAGGTAGTAAATGCTGTGGGAAAGTAGGCTCACTGCCTTCCACAGGACTACTGAGTACCTGAGTCCCTGTGGGGCAGGCAGCATACAGGTGTGAGGCACAGGTTAAATGCCATTGTGAGGGTACAGTCAAAGGAGGGCCTGGGATTTAGCTCAGTGGTGCTGCCACCTGCTTCGCAAGCACAAAAGAAGTTAAGGGACTGCCTTTCCCTTCACTAATTAGACTGGACTATCTTATATTTATCTGTATTAATTACATTTCCAATTTAAGTTAGCTATGTAGAAATAAATGGACTGGATCATTTCGGAGATGTGCAGTTCAATACTGCATTTCTGTTTCTACATTTAATGGTGTTCAGTTTTAAACTTTCCACATTCATCACAGAAAAGTGAGGCAACTGATTTCCTTGGCACACTATTGATGATCTTTGATGTGATAAAATGACCATACTTGGGAAGAAAAATGGGTAGAAAGCTTAAAACAAAACCAAAACCAAAATGCTTCAATTATAATAACTTCTTGTTTTTCAAAGTGCAGTCTCCCTTAGTTTTCCATATTTTGAATTGGAATTCCCTAATTTTCCAAGACCTCTTGTCCCCTCCAAGGTAATTTAGTATGAGAAACATAGGGGAAGGGTCACGTCATACTGTCCTCCAGCCTCTCTTTGGAGGCCATCGTGGTTGAGACTCTTGAATGTACCCAGCAGCTGCTGGGGACGTGTGACTGCTCTCGCTAGATCTAATGTCCTCTGGTTTTGAATATTAGGCTGGTCAGACAGCAATGTCAGTCCTCCTCCTACTCCTTGGCCAGCACCAAAGACAAGCAATCCAAATGATGAGAGCCCTGCACTGAAAGGTAACATGGTGTTTTCTCCCTTGCCGTGAAGTTTTCTTCCTTTCCAACCACTTAACACTTTCTCTTTTTCTTTCATAATTATCATTTAAGCATGAAGGGCTCAACACAAGACAGTGGGATGGATAATAATTTTGCATGATTCTAGAAATTCCATCTGACTTTTTTGGTGATTTGCTGATTCCCTTTATCGGCTTGTATTTAATGAGAATGAATCAGATATCTCTCTCCTTATGATTGACTGCTTTCCTTGTGATTGTCTGGAAATATCAGTGTATAAAAGGCCACTGAAGTTTGCTATCTTCAGCTAAAAATACCATTGCAACCATCCAGTAAGCCTTTCAACTAGTGCTTCTTAGAAAGGGACAGGTTCCTTAGTTGTCAGAAGAGGTCCTTTCTAGTTCATGAGGTCTTTTTCTTTTGAGACAGGCCTCCACAGAGAACATCTTCTCAACAGAAGATCTTATGTTTACAGCTCTATGTCCGTTCCTTTGGTCATCACCCACTTTCCCTTTGACCACAGGAAGTTAAAGGAAATGTCTATTCCATGATCATCAAAAAATGTCCCACGGCCGGGCCTGGTGGCACATGCCTATAATCCCAGCACTGGGGAGGCTGAGGCAGGAGGATCACTGTGACTTCAAGACCACCCTGGGCTACATAGTTCCATGTCAGTCTCAACTACATAGTGAAACCCTGTCTCAAAACACCAAAAAAAAAAAAAAAAAAAAAAAAAAAAAAAAAAAAAAAAAAAAAGGGTCAAAATCTTTGTATATTTATTCATACAGTAAATATCAAGTGACTCATACAGCTGCTCAGTTTAAAAGGATGTTAACCTGTTTTAATACGAGATATATTTAAAGTTTATAGAGCTGACAACTTTTTTAATCTTTTAAGACCTCTCATTGTTACCTATAGAACTCTCCACTTGAAATCTAATTTGTATATCCATACAGCTGAGGCAGGAGGATCACTGTGAGTTCAAGACCACCCTGGGCTACATAGTTCCATGTCGGTCTCAACTACATAGTGAAACCCTGTCTCAAAACACCAAAAAAAAAAAAACAAAAAAAAAAGAAAGAAAGAAAAAAAAAGTGTCCAATGGTATTCTTTTTAAGTGTTGTGCAAATGATTTGTGATAGGTGCACCAGTGTGCAGTCACCTGGCTCCTCCAGTAGCCCCATGATCACTTTCTGAGGACCTTGCAAGACTTTGCAGAAGTTAGAAGAAGACATGACTGTGTAGCATAGTTTCACTGGGGCTATCTTTAAGATTTCTTAGTATTCTCTATCAGTAATAGAGATAGGCTAATATACCCAAATCAGTCTTTCCCACATAGCAACCTTGTGTGACCTCCCATATGATAAGTAAAGAAATACGTTACTACCCCTCCAACAAACCGTACCGAGTGCTGTTAAGTCACAGCTTATCAAAATAAACCAAGTATTTTCAGGGCTGACCACATGGAATTTAGTGAATGTTGCATGTAATTATAACTTGTGTACTGCTCAGTCTGATTGCTTAGCAGTCCTTTCTGTCTATAATAGATAGGTGCACATAGATTATGTCACTATAAAGTAATAGATCCACAAGAGATTTTGGAAAAAAAGGAGAGGAATAAGAAATATAAAGTGATCAGTTCACTATTTTAGCATTTTGGTGTCATTTTAATGAAAAGACCACAGGCCAGGTTTATGTAGATAGAAACCCATCATTTCTGTCCCTTCACTGTTAACCACTTTTAGCAACTCGTCCTGCCAGTATTTTCTGAGACTCTGGCCAGATGGCTAGCACATTCCTCACTGCTCTCAGAAAGAAAGACATTTTCTTCATGCTTCTGATGCTCCTGCCTTTGGGAGAATAAAAGCAGCATGGGTCATCCAAGCCAATGAATTTAAGTCTCACATGCGACATATATATTTATTCATTTTCCCAACTTATTGAGAAATCAATTGCATGAAGCACTCTTGAACATGTTTCCCTCGTCTGGAAGATAACTCGACTGATAGTCGTGGTATTCAGGACATGCGGGCAGGACACGCTCTTTCGGTGAGAGAGCAGTGGGACTGCTCCAGCAAGCTGAAGACAGACAGGGAATTTCCCCACTAGGGCAGGGGAAGGCACCAGAGCTTTCTGAGGGGAGAGGGAGAAGAGGGCGGTGAGCCTGCCAGGAGAAGCCGGGCATGGCGCAAGCCTTTCTGGGCCTGTGGCTCAGAAATGTGAAAAGAGAGGCCACGGCCTCTGTCCTGACCCAGATTTGAAGGGATCTCCCGAGCAGACACTGGAAAGCACCTTGCTTCCTCAGCCGTTCACTCCGATTTCTGAAATAACCATGTCCTTGTTGTGCTGAGGCCCCAGAGCAGCTCTTGGGGCAGTGGCCATAAGCAAGATGAAGGTAGAGATTATTTAACACAGAGCTGCTTCTTCACCAGGCTTTGGATCCTGGTGTAGAAATGTGCACCAACCAGTCACAGGCCCCTGGAATTCCCCAACCTGTTGGAGTCAGAGGGTAACAGGATGTGTCGCTTTTCTAGATGGTGCTCGACCTGCCTACACACAGCATGGCAGAGGTAGACATTCAGAAGGGAGTTTGTTGATGTTTTCTTTTCTCTCCCCAGAGCCTGCCAAGGCCGCCTCCGACCTGACTGCCTGGTTCAGCCTCTTTGCTGACCTCGACCCTTTATCAAATCCTGATGCTGTCGGGAAAACGGATAAAGAACATGAATTGCTCAATGCATGAGTCTGCAGCCTTCAGGAAGGAGGCCTCACATACTCCACTCCCCAGCACATACCTGGGGCAAGCAGAAGTGCAACATGATCAGTATGCTGTTTTAATATTTACGTGCCATTTTAATAAAAGAAAAGGGCCAGAGGCCCTTATATTGGTTTGATCACTCTTATTTGGTATAAAGGGTTTTAGTATGTTTTCTGTGTGGATCTGAACAGTCCAGGAGTGTCCAGGAGTGGTGTCTAGGCCACTGCTCTCCTGCTGACATCCCATGCACTGTGGTGGCACAGGCTACCATGAGATCCAAGTTCAAACCATAAGCCTGCTGTGTATTGGGGTTACAGCAAGTCCTCGACTTAGGAGCATTCGAGTTGCGAACTTTCCTGGGTGTACTGTGTAAGACTCACTTTGCTGGATACAAACAAATCCGACTTTCAAACGGTTCTCCCAGAGTGGAACTCATTTAAAAGTCAGGGACTTACTATAACGTGCCGTACAGTCCGCAGAAGCGTCAGGAGGCTAACACAGCTTCGTGCCCCTCCTGGTCCTGTTCCGAGGGGAGTGACTGAGGAGGAGTCCCTGTTTCTGTCACACCACCTCTCAGTGCTCTCTCACTGACGCTTGCTCCGAGTCCACACAGCACTCGCCTGCAGGGCCTGGTCTCGTCCCTGGAAGAGGAGCCGGGCTTCTCTCCACTGCACGAATCCTTCCTGGAAAGCAGCCACATCTGCAGATGTCGGTGTCTCCTTTTTGTCCTCATGGTTGTTTGCATTCCGAAGCATGTATTTCTGGAGCCTCCTCTGTCTTTTTGTAATTAAACAGAGCGAACATTTGACACGGAGAGTCCAGTCATGGAGTCTATGTGGGGCCTCGGCATTGTGCTGAAGGAAGCACTATGGGTGTGAGGGATGGAGAGGGATGGAGGAGAATGAGACTCAACTCGGTGTGGGACTGGGCAGGACCAAGAGCAGCAGTGCTGCAGCTGGACGCAGCTCAGACACCCTCCTGCCTCTGTTCTCGTGGTGGTGCCAATGCTGGCACCTTTCCTCTCTTCCCACAGTTCGTTATGAGGGCCACAAACACTGACACAAGCTCAAATACATCCTCTTCAAACCCTCGGGGCTCGAGTGATACGGAATTGCTGCTTAGCCAGCAAAGGGTTCTGTGTGCTCAGCTAGGCCAGGAAGTCTCTCCCGGACTTCTGAAGCTTCGGCCGCAGCTCTGAAAGGCCCTTCTGGGATCCCACACAGGAGCACCCGCATGGAAGAGCCTGACCGCAGCAGTCAGTCCTGGAGGACTGGAGCAGGGTGGTCCTTGTGCAAGTGAGATGGGCTGGAGACCCAGTCAGTGACATAGCTTGGGTAGCTCTGGTGGCTTCTTTGCCCAGCCCAGACTGTCAGGGAGTCTCCTTTGTTAGAATCTGAGTTAGCAGATCCCTCTGTCTGTCAGTCATGGGCTTTGAGGACATCAAGATACACCTCCAGGACCCCCTGCCTCACAATCCTCCTCACACACGAGTTCTTGCTTTATCCCCAAACCCCATCCTACAGCCTGTGCATTTGCTGTGCACCCCACAGGGACACCATCACAACCCTAGCCACCCTTCAAGAGCCCCCTCCATGCCCCTTTCACCACGGGCAAGTCTTCAGGCCCCACGTGAGGCACCATCCTTGCTCCACGAGAACTCACCAGTCCCTGCCCCCACGTCTACTGCCTGGCCTGGTGAGGTCCATGGCTCCAGGCCCCTGAATGTACCATGCAGTGCAGCAACCCAGAGAACACAGCCCCTGTTTCCCAAAACTCTGTCTCCCCAGCGATCAGCTGGGGTCACCTTGGATGTAATGGATTAATGATTGCCAAATCCATTTGTCTCGCATGGGATATGGAGCCACCAATGGTCCTGGTTCCATCCTGAGATCGTTTGCAACCAGCAGTCCATGTCAGCTGCTGTGAGGATTTAACGCCGGTGGGCCTGGCTTCTCCACCCAGGTGGTGTGAGGGGAACTGGGAGGTGGGTTCTTCTGTTTTAAATGGATTACTTTAAATACTACCAGACTGCATTTTAAAATTGATCTGTGGGTGGAGGAGAGAGGACTGTGGTAGTTGGACAGGCTTTGCTACAAAGAGAAGGAAAATAGTGTACATGAAGGCATTTTCTCCCCAAATTTTCTGTACTTTTTTTTTTTTTTTTTTTTTTTAAAAAAAAACAAAAAAAAAA